ACCCGCAGATGTTGGTGTTATCAGCACTTACCCTACATAGTGATCTGCAGAACATTCTGTTAGGTGAGGAAGCCACTGCAGAACAGTGTTTCTAGAATGTCACCTTTTGTGTAAGAATGGGGGCAGCGTGTAAATACCAACATGCCCCATAAGCATTGCTTATATCTTTCAAAAAGAAACAGCAGCAGGATGAAAATAAGGGTGATTACCTTTACAGAAGGGGAACAAATAGAGTGGGGAGCACAGGAACGGAAGTACGTGTTCTAAACCCTGGTCTGTGGTTTTGAAATTATATAAATTCCTTGCATACTTCATAAAAGAAACGGTTAAATCAAAAAAGGAAAACAATAAACAGAATCTAACAACTGGAAATAAACGGAAACAAATGAATTTATGTACAGTTGGTCCCGATCACGCGGAGAAAAGAACTACTTCAAGTGAGTTTAACAGTTTGTTGATTGTACATTGCTGTATAAAGAGAATATATAGGATGGATTATTTTAAAATGTTTAATCCCAAATAGTTTTAAGACTGTAATCTATAGTCTTATTGTTAGCAGTGAAGTCAATATTGCTTTCAATGAAACTATTATAAGCACACGGCATAAGACAAAACAATGACTCTCCCTAGAATCAGCAGTTCTCCAGTTTAGCTCTCATCCTCTGGACTGGCTGGAGCTCCTGGATCTTTTCTGCAGCAGGCAGGACCCTTGCTTCTCCTTTTTTGCATCCCCAGTGCCTGAGTCACAGTACACCCCAAATTAGCACCTCTTGAATTGAAAGGAAACCTAATGCACCAGGATTCTCCTCAAATCCCCTCAACTCATCGCCTGTCCCATCTGGGACAGACCCCTGCGTCTTCTCCCCCGGCCTCCTCTGGACTCCATCAGGCCCCGCCCTGAACTCTGCTTTCTTTGCCCTTGAAGCATCCGGCGCACGATCTGCTCTGGGACTAACGTCCTCCCCTTCATTCCTCACCTTCAAACCCATTGCTCCCACCCCATGTTGCCACGTCGATAGCCATTTACTTTCTACAGATGGATTTTAACATCTATTATTTCATTGACTCGCCTCCTTAACTCTATTACCAAACTCCGTTTCACAAATAAAGAAACTGGGGCTCAACGAAGTTTAAGTCATTTGTCCAGGCCCCTTGACAAATGACTGGTCAATGACATAGGTCAGTCAAAAGTTCGTTGGACAGATGTGGGTTAGCATCCACTGCTAGCCATGTAGACCTTGAGCAAATCATTCATTCGTTTGTTTTATTCATGATAACCATGTACGGCTTGTGTGAGGAACTCTGCTGGTGCTAGGAATACAGAGGTGATTGGAGAACACAGGGATTGTTCTCCAGGGAGGATGGAGGCTCCTCCAGGGAGGATGGTGACATCATGGTGTTCAGAAGGCACCAGTGGTCTACTGTTTGCAAACAGCATGCGTGAGGCTTAAGATAAGGTTTTCAGTGACAGCAACACAGAGTCTTAAAATGTGCTGTATAAAGCACCACATATGAAAATGGAAATTTTAGGGCCTGGAAAACTGTTGGGTGTCTAAATAACAGCCCTGGTGACAGCGAAGGCTTTGACAGAATGCACGTGAGAAGGCTGGTGAAGTCAGTGGCATCACATTTAAAATGAGGAAAAATGCCATATTTTAGTGTCTATGTATTCTATGTATTAGACACAGAATTTGACCTGTGTGTGTCTGGCCTTGGAGTAGGAAAACCCCGAAGCACCCAGCACTGCAGCCCCTCTCCCATGTCCCCAGGTCTCTGAGGAAATATGTCAAAATGGAAATAGTATCTGCCTCTACCTCAAAGACTGAAACAGAAATATACATATTTGTGTTTGTATCTGTGTGCATACACATACACATATGCACACACATAGTTTTTAATTATATACATAATTCGTGTACATATTTAGTGTTTGTATATATTTCGAGAGAGTAATATAAACATTAGTATTAGGAAGCTAGTTTGCACCAATGGGCTAAATGAATCTTCAGGACACCCATGATACTTCCCTGTACTGATCTGGTAGATGACCAAGAGCTCATTAGAAAAGACTGCCTTTTTCTAGAACCTGCAATTCCAGAGGTCTTGGTTCAGCACTGGCCAGGGCTCTGTCCCGGGCTGAGCAATGAGTGGTTTCTCCCAAAGTATAAGACAGATCCCAAGAGCATGCACCAGCCATCCGTGGGTTTTAGGGAAATGTGTGATTGCCCTGGGGAATCCCCTCAGAGGGAGATCCCTCTTAGGATGTTGAGGGGGGATTTTTTTTTGAAATGAGTTTCACTCTTGTTGCCCAGGCTGGGGTTCAATGGTGTGATCTCAGCTCACTGCAACCTCCGCCTCCTGGATCCAGACAATTCTGCTGCCTCAGCCTCCCAAGTAGCTGAGATTACAGGCATGCACCACCACACCAGACTAATTTTGTATTTTTAGTAGAGACGGAGTTTCTCCATGTTGGTCAGGCTGGTCTCAAACTCCCCACCTCATGTGATCCGCCTGCTTCAGCCTCCCAAAGTGCCGGGATTACAGGCGTGAGTCACCGCGCCTGGCCTGGGATTTTAAACTCATGGGCTTTCAAGGCAGACTGCCTTGGGGCATGCCAGCCTGCCATTTTCTTGCTAGTGACTCTGGACTCATTCCTTACCTTAGCTGCCTCAAGTGAAAAAAGGTTTAATCATAGTCTTGACTTCATAAGATTGTTGGGAAAATTAAATGAGGGAATGTATACAAAATGCCGTCAGCGAAACTCAGACATGGTAACAGCGTAGTAAATAACTCCTAGTAAAGAACTTTCTTCTGCCACAGCACAAGCCTTGGGGTTTCCCACTTGTCTGAAGGATACTGATGTTTTCGAGAACACCCAAGCAGTCAAGGGTGCACTGGGTAGAGACACGCCCCAGCCCCCCGCCCTGCAGCCGCTGGTGCAAATCTCCCTCTCCACGGGGCTCAGCTCCAAAGAGTCCAGCTGGGTGCATCTGGCTGGGGAGATTAAATTATTTTTGAATTCCTAACTGAATGTTCTTTTAATGGAAACTTAATGACAGGCATTGAAATAGATTTCCTCCATAACCCCTCCTCCCACCACCCCCACCCCCCACGGCTCTGCGTTGCGCAGTTCCCGATAACCTTTATTCCCTACCCCTGGACTTTTATCTCCCCAGTGACAAACAGCCCTTGCTGGACAGAAAGAGGAAATTCCAGTCATTGTTCTCAACCTTCTGGCTTCCAAAATAAAATGCTCTATCTCCCCTGTCAAGCTTTGATTGACACACACTTCCTGTAATGGCAGGCAACAACGGCCCAGGGGCGGGGCCGCGTTTATTTGCATTCTTTCCATCAGAAGCTGTCCTAACGTTTGTTCCAGACAGGGAAAGATCCCCTCGCTATTCACAGAAGCATCCTGTTGAGGACCTATATCCCGTTTTATGAAAAATCCCCATGAAAGACACTTCCTCAACTGTCTCTGCCATCCCCTTAGGAAGCTCTTCTGGAAAGTCCAGTTGCACTCCTCCTTAGTGACGACTCAGATGGACAGTCACCGATCAGCCCATGTCTTAGATTTGGCAACTTAGAAAGGATCTTTTACTTATACCTTTTCTCTCTTAAGGAATGAATAATTTTCAAACATTTAATGCTTTCCATTAAGGAAAACCTCCCAGATCTTAACTCCAAATATTGAAGTTGAGCCAACCTAGGTCCAGGAAGATTCAACCAGAATCAAAGGCTCTTAGTCAAAATCCCCATTGCAACAGAGATGAACTGGACAATTCAAAGGGCATCCGTCTCAAGGAAAGCTTTGAATGTAATAATGCATCATGGGATGCAGTTTTCTTGATGGGAATTAGAAATATTGACTTGCTTTTAAAATCAGCAAATAGAATAACCCAGTATTTACCTGTAGCAATAGCAATACTAATGTGGTCAGATCCGACTGGGAAAAATGTTACTCCATTGTAATAAACAGGCTGCCTTTAGCAGTGGCATTTACCTACAGGCAGTTTGGCCTTCTGAGACTATTTTTCATTTCTCTTTACTTGTTGAACACCCATGCCCTTGTTAAGCCCTTTTTTGAAGTGCACAGGATTTTTATGTGTTCTTGGGTTCCAGCCACTCCTTAGACCTATCAAAAGTCACCTGTTCCAGGCTTCATTTCCTAGGGGCTTTATTGGATGTACCTATGTTAATGATTGCTAGCGGGTCAATGGGAATTTTTATTAAAAAAGAGACTCCAGGTGTAGAGTGTCTTGATCCTAGCAAAGGGATATTTAGAGGCAGGCAGTCTTCCACCGAATAACCCAGAAGCAAATACCAATCAGAAAGATGCCAGTTGTTTAGCTCCCTGAACAATCAAAGGGAGTGGATTGCTTCTGATCATCTCGCTTCCAGCCAACTGCGTGCATGCTGCCAGCCAGTGGAGAATATACCAGGAGGAGAGCATGCTGATGGGAACAAGTGTCAACACGGTTTCCCTCCAGTTTGCAAAGAGGCTGCATCATGACAGTGGGCCAGCAGAGAATTCCAGCTCCCTCAAGCTTGTGATACCTGATTTCTTTCTGCTGTGCCAGCACATTAAATTGTGGTGCCAAAGCACTCACAGGCACAGGGTGAGAGTTCCACATGGGCCAGCTGTGCCCACGGTTATGGCCATTGACAAGGTATGCAACCTTAAACCCATCAGAGTCCCCACTGTTCTTCGTCAGAAGGACCAGAGTGGTACACGGATCCATACAAACACAACCCAGGCATGGAACTGGCAGCTACCAGTTTATGTGCCAAGACTCACACTGGAGAGGCATCATGGAGCTCTACCGGAAGGTGTGTGTCTGTGGCCAGGGTCACTTCCTCCCGAGGGCTAGAGACAACAAATGTGTCCTGTGTGCTTCCCCTCCACTCCTCCCACCTCTTCCAGGAGAGGGTCCTCTCCGCAAAAGGACATTCATCAGGGGTCTAACTCAGTTAACGCACAGTAATAATGATAATCAAGGTGCATGGACAGTTTCGGAAATTTAATATATGAATCAACCCACTGAAAACATTTTGATTCCTAAGCAGCTTTGAGTACCATTTTTTTTCCAGGACACATTCAAAATGATGCAGGTGGGGACCTGAAGAAGACTTTCACAGGAAAACCTTCCCCTCAAGGTCGATCCTTCCATAGCTGGTCCCTTTTAGGAAGATGGGCTTTCAGGGAAAGAAAGACCTAGTAACAACCTGAACTGTGGGGCTCCATCCCATTCCTCTCTTTCCCACTTCTTCAGAAATAGCATTCCAGCACAAACTCTAGGTGGAGAACCTCATGAAACTGTTTCTTCTCAGGTGCATTAATGGTACATTACCTTCTCTACTGACTTTGCACCTTTGAACCCCTCATTGCTATCTTAGAAGAGCAGGAAATACTCTTTTTAAATAGATGTATAGTCCCTGAAGCCATCCAATACAGATTGAAAGAAATATCACCGCTTTTAACTAAAGCATTCTGTCTTGTGGAAGGTATCATCAAGGTTCTAGCGTGTAGATTTAGCCTCTGTCTAAATGTAACACATAAGAAGATTCAAGCCTCAAATTGTTCTTTGTGTAAGCGTTTTCTTATTGTCATTGATTGGCTGGTTCATCTCCCCAACTTAGGAGACAATTTTTCCATCAGTAAAATTCCACACTCAAATAAAAGTGGAGTCTTTCTTATCAGTAGAATCAAAATGAGATTATTATTGTTCCCTGATCCTTTCTAAAGTTCATAACTTCTTTAAGGAAACTTTAAAAAAATATTTTGTTTGTCCTGTCCATGAAACTTTTGATAATTTTGTCTGCTCCCATCAACACTACATGAGCTCAAATAATCATATTAAAGATTTCAAGTGAGCACCTATGGCTTCCATATGCCAGTTTCCTATAAATGCATGGCACATTCTAATACAGTAGCCTTGTAGAGATACATGTCTTGTGGAATCACAATTGCAGGGCTCAGGGGTCATTGTGCTGGTAGACTTTGAAGGCTCTCATCCTACTTTTATACCACTAAGTTGTTGACTGCTTCATAATGCTCCTTCTAGCCACTAGGAACTTTGGAGACTTGGTTTTACCCCAGTTGAAAAGCCACTGTTACATTTTGGTGTCATCTGTTTCATTGACTTCTGACAAGATGAAGCTGGGGTTGTCATAGCCTCTCTTCATCCTGGCTCTAGCATCTTTCTCATTATAAAGGCACATGGCACAGTGAGGGGTTTCCACTTCCACTGTCTTGCTAAAGTTATGGAAATCCACTCGGTATTTCCCTTCTTTCGTCTTGGATACTATGGGAGCAAAACGGTAGCCCCAAAGCACCTCCTCTGGGACATAGGATGTCCGGACTTGGCAGGTAGCACTGGTTGACTCCACAGTCCCATCTAAAAACACCACTAATTCAAAGTCCTGCTGGAGAAGGGTCTCTGCTGCCATGTGGAAGAAGGGGCTGTGGTGATCAATGACATGGTAAATTGTCAATGGGGAGATGAAGAATAAATTTTCATTCCCGGCATCAACTACAAAGTTGATATTTGTCTGGTCCAAAATAATGGTTTCTCCTTCAGGAGTGACTGTGGTCTTCAGAAGCTTTCCATATATGTGACTGCTAATAAGGAGGCTCTTCCTGAGATTAGCCACTCGGATTAGGAGACAAAGCTTCCCTCCGCGTTTGCTGATCACTGCATTCTTGCTGAACATAATGGTCTTGGCACGTTTTTTGGGCCTGGAGATCTTGGCTAAGATGGCGCCACACATGAAAGAATTGATCATAACTCCAAGTATAGACTGAGAGATCAGCAGAAAAATGGCAGTGGCACACTGTTCTGTCACACACCTAAATCCATATCCAATGGTCACTTGAGTCTCCAGAGAAAACAGAAAAGCTGAGGTCAAGCCATTAATGTTCTCCACACAGGGAGTGTGGTTGGCAGAAGGATGGAACTCTGGGAGGTCTTTGTGAATGTATGCTACTGCGTACCACAGGAGACCAAAGAAAAACCAACTCCCCAGAAAGGCTGTGATGAAAATGGTCATTTTGTATCTCCATTTGAGGTCAAGTACTGTTGTCCAGATGTCCACAAAGAATATAAGCCTCGACTGTGCCTCCACATTGCCAAATTCTATGTTGCACCTTCCATCTTTGGAGACTAGCCTTGCTCTTTGCCGAGAATGCCGAAAAAAGCGAGTGATGACCCACTTCCGAAGATGTTTGAACATACTTTCTGTCAACACCCTGATCTGAAAACACATCAAAGAAAAACAAAAAAGGATTATGTTTGTAGCAATAGTGAACTAGGTGACTCATATGAAAGATCTAACTATGAAAAGATCATTCAAAATTATCTGGCTTACTAATCGTTTGGCAAGCTGACAAGTTTGTTCTGGATACCACAATGCTATTTCTAATAGAAACTTTCCACTGGAAGACCATGTTACTCAAATATAAAGAAGCAAAATAATTACAGAGAGTTAGAAATAGAAGAAAACTAAGAGATCATATGTTTTAAGTGTTTCCTGACCTCAGCTGGTCTCACATAACCTTAAGAATGTTTGTGATAAACAATTATGGTCCGCATTTTTATTTATTGAATATTATTACTGAAATCACCTTCTCATAAGTTTAGCCTTCTGCTAAGCAATGATTTCTGAAAAATCACAAACTTGAAGCACTTGAAGTATTTATTTTTTGAGATACAGGAAAATAACTGATCAAGAAAACACTTATCAATATACTACATAAATCATCTTTGTACTTCTGTTGATACTCACATATCAAGAAAAATTTAATTCAATTCAGTTCTCTCAGTTTATCAAATGAGGAAACTGAGACTCAGAAAATTTAAATGACTTGTCGAAATCCATGTACCTAGCCAGTGACAAGATGACAACTAGAATATAGGGCTCCCTGCCTCCAGTCCAGGGGAGCTTCTGCCACTCCGTGTCTCACTTACCAAATGTTATATTCTGAAGTTACATTTTCCTAAAATATTTTAGACAAGTATTGGTTATATTGCTTTTTTTATAATGCTCAACACTATTTAGAAGAGAGCTCAGATACAACCAGACGGTCTTATAGGGCTTCTCCATAAATTTACAAGCCTGTTCCTACCCTCTTTCCATGGTGTCCCAAGATTCCCAAAAGGAATATTATGAGGGCTACCATCAACACCTCACACTTCCTTTCTTACTCCAAAGCTGGAGGACTGGGGAGCACTGATTTAAATAATACTCCGTAAAAACAGACCATACTTTATTCATTCCTGTATCCAAGTTGCTAGCACACTCTATGAGTGTCTACTGTTTATCCAGTAAACGTAAATAAAATAATTCAGTGAATTAATTATATTTTTCAAAATCCTGTTTGCTCAATGGGTTTTTTTTTTATAGAAGACAGTACTGTGACTTCCATTTTACAGCAAAATAGTGAAGGGACTGTCCCATGAACAGCCAGCAATGGCGAAACCCAAGGTCAAAAACACTGGATTACCTCCTCCCCATGCCCAAGCATGTCAAGGTGTGCGCACTGTGGTCAGCAGTGTCTTCAGGGTATTTTTCATTAAATGCAAATGTGTTTTTAAAATAGATTTCAAAATCCCCCTTGAAAAATGCGTTTATTCACAAGAACTAGGAAGCGAAACCAACTTAGTGATATATTTTAAATAATAGTGATATCCCATAATGCCTTGTTCAAGACCTTAACCCAGGTGAAAACACAAGAAGCCAACATCAGGTCGGAGTGGTGAAGAGAAAACCACAGCTGTGGTGATTTAAAGTGGTGAGGACAGGTTCCAAAGATACAAAAAAAAAAAAAAAAAAAAAATGCTGCCAAGAGAATAAACAGCAATGCACACAGAGGGCCCTCCCCTCATCCACACTGCCCTCATTGACCTCAAGTTCCCAAAGAGGATTAGGGGACAGTGCATGTGAGGTACAGAGGAGGAAATGGTCTCCTCCTCTCCTCACACACATCGTTTACCCTGGTCTACACCCACAGGGACTGACCCTTCTCCCAGGTGCGTTCGGGCTCATACTGTTTACACAGCTCTCCAGAGAGTGACTCTCAGCTCAAATAGTAAATTCTTCATTTTATTGTATTTTATTTTCACGTCATCTGACTGGATCAAACAGCAAATTCTAAAACCAACATTTATCAACTGAATCCACATTCTCTTTGTCATACATTGTCATTCCAGAGATGGCTCCTAACACACCAACTTCTGAGGTTTTTTTCCCCACCGCCCTGCTCCTCTAGCCTCCCTGAAGTTCACTTTACTTTTAAAGGTAGAGATGATTTCTGTAGAGTGAATAGATACCCCCTGACTGATCACTTGAATAACGTTGGGTTTCCATGACTGCATTAATAATAAAACATTATCTGCCTGGCTTTACAGAGAGGTGATTTTCCCAGCCTGCACTTACCAACGTCTCAAACATGTTCCGATTTGAAGTATCCATGGCTGGAAAAAGCAAGGAAGTGGTGCTGGAAGTTGGTCTTTCTATGCAGACTGATTTCTTTTAGACTCAGCTTAATTTATTGTAGGCGACAGTCAGTGGACTGACGCTAATTTGTGTTAACTTGAAAACACTTAATTTCATAGTAGAGTCGTGTGATTTATACCAAGGCAATTGGTTGTTATCAGACCAAGCCCCAAGCTGGGTATGTATTTTTTTCTTTTCGACATCACATGGCTTGAATACCATTATGCTAAGACATGACAAACCATCAGCACAGGTTCCTGGGCAGCAGGCGTGGACTGGGTTCCAGCATTGCCTTCCCCTTCTTGGCCACGCTCTATTGCTCTCTTGTTTCTCCTGAAAGTTGTACCTAATAACTCTGGCCGGAAATAGTTATCATCAATCTCCCAGCCTATTCTCTGAAACACACTGAAATACTGAGTTTCCCAAGTGTTCACAAAGATGCAGGTGAACATACAGACATAGATAAGTATATATTTAAAGATAAAAGTAAGATCACACCAGGAAGAAACAAGATACCATATCAATCTCTCTATACAACAGTCACTGTTATGTAAGAAATAGATTTTAAAGAAGTCTTTATTGTTGGAAGTCTTTATTATTCTGGAAACCTGGCATTTACTGAAGGTGCTTTTTATATGCATGGAGTTAGCCAATGCTGTTGATTTATTTGTTCAGAGTAAGAAGGATTATTCTTAGAGAATGCAATGATACAGGATAATTTCATCCACTAACCAAACCTGTCATTCACATGGCAGAACTATTATTGCACGGATCCTACCTTTTTTAGACAATTGCATTTAATCTAACCACAGACAGAGCCAATATGTATTTTATGAACTCTTAGGTGATTAGAGGCTGTCCCTGGTGTCTGGGTTATATAACATGCTCAGTTTTTAGTTTCCTTTCTATTGAAATCAGTAAATCTTAATAGCAAGCAAAGGGCTGCACATTAGCTAGTATTTACCAAGGTATTCTTAGTGGCTTGGCAAAGCAAGTGGATTACATTACTGCCACTTTTTCTTTAGTGCCCCAGCGTTCTTGTTCTGTAAACAATCATTCTCAGAAAATAGACGTTTTGTGCACTTCCCAAACATTGACTGTATGCTTATTCTGTAGGATTTCAAAGACAAATAGAACTCTTCCTGTTCTCAGGGAGTTCATAGTCTAATGCGGAAGCGAGCTAAGGAAATCAATCACAGCCTAACATGGTTGGTATAATACCAAAAAGAGTCACTTTTTAAAAAGATCCTTGTAAGTTGGGGATCCACCTTTTGCAAACATACTTCAACTGGCTGAAAACTCATTGCATTTATGTATACATTAATTTATCTATCAATCATTATTCAATGATGATGTGTTGATAGCCAGTGTTGACTGTGTGCACTGACCATTGTGCTAGACATCAGAGAAGCAAGGGACTCAGTCCCTGTTATCATACAGCTCCCATTTGAGCAGAGGGGGTGGTGCAAATGCATCAATAAACTATCAAATGACCAGTGATAAATGCCAGGATGTGAAACAGTGGGAGCACTCAGGGGAGCACCTATTTTGATGAGCAGAACCGTAACCCTGAGGCCAAGGCTTGAAGATGAGTTAGAGTCACACATGGTAGAAACTCTATAAATATTTGCTGAATGATGATAAAGTAATCAATGTGTATATAAAATCAACGAGCTTGCTGTCACATATATCACTTAGTATCTGGTGGCTCCCATTCTAACGGAGAGGTCCTGTGTGTGCAGTACTGACCACACTGCAATGTAGTCTTGTATGTGACCCCGGCAGGGGCGACCGAGGAAAGAACACGTGGAGGAGCCAAAAGAAGTTTCAAGTAAGCAAATAATGGAGTGTAGGAAGCCTCAGTGAGACACTGGGCTGTAAAGGCAAGCTAGGGCCAACGCATTCTGCCCCTGGTGTGCCATTTGACTTTTTTTCCCCATAGAACTACAGGGGAAACTGGCATAAAGAACATTCTTCTTGTGCTTCAGAGAAAACTCATAAAAATTCTAAATAAGTCTGACGTCTCCTCCATTTAACAGCCCTTCAAATTCTTGAAAATAAACATATTTTCTTTCTGAATTTCCTTTTTTCCATAAAAATGTGTGCTTCATTTGCATGCAACATCTACTTTAATCAGTATGTGCTTACTTTAAGGGAGGGGACAACAGTTTGTGGTCCTTAGCGAATTTGATGGACCCAGGTGCAGAAACTGTTCTTCCACAGGCATCCACTTGAGAACAACTTGTTATGAATTTGGGATTTCTGACAGGACTTGCCACCCCAGCCTCCTCAGAAGCCAAACAGCCACTATTTCAAAGAGGGGAAAGGGAAGTAGGCATGACTGTTACTGCCTCCGATATAGAATTTAAAAGTCTGTTATTCCTCTATAGAAATGGGGAAGAAAACCCACTTACTGCAGTCTGCCTTTCAGCCAAACCTCTCATAGTTTATACACATCCTTAGATAACTTTAGGACATTTCTGAAGGTCAGGATTTCAGGTTAGAGGTAGGAAATACGATCTATGTGGCCTGAAAGCAGAAGTCAGATGATTTTCCCTAGTACCTTTGTAACTGCGGTGGAGAAGAAATTCAAGTTTCATAGATGAAAACATTACTGCTTTGCCAACAGTTGATTGAATCCGGAAACATTTCTTGAGGATTTTCCATAGCAATGATTGAATGGGGTTATGGGGCAGTTCCTCTTCCTTCTTAATCAATATAATTAAACAAGCACTCTCTTTATTGAGCATCTACCATAT